CCAATGGATAGGCTAATTGTAAGGCTACTGCTAATCACTCAGCTATATTGGCGAGGCTAATGGCAAGGCTAATGACTCAACAATAGGCTAGACTACTGAATAAGCTAATTGCTAGGCTAACGGCATGGCTAATGGATAGGCTAATTGCTAGGCTAATGACTCGGCTAATTGTCAGGCTAATGGATAGGATAACGACTCACCTAATGGTTAAACTAATGGTTACACTAATGACTCAGCTAATGGATAAGCTAATACATAGGCTACTAGGCTAGGCTAACGGATAGGCTAATTTGCTAGATTCAGTGTCTCACTTTCCTGTTACAACAAAGGGTGCAGAAAAAAATACATCAAATGTTTCAAAATGGTGGAAAACAAAGTCTTACAAAACCAACACTTGTGAATAAAGAACCTTTCCAACCATACTTCGTTGGATACTGGACCTGAACAGCATCCGTTGTGTAAGTATGTGGACTTCCAGTCAACACTCACCGTTCTGAGCAGTTTAAAGTGACGCAAAGTAGACGTTACAACATGGCGTCAGTCCACAAACAGGATTCGGTTTCTGCTCTTGTACTCACCAGCCTCATCTCCCAGTACCATATTTTCTGGCCTATAAGTCGCATCTGTCCAAAAATATCTAATAATTTGGAAAAATCCATAAATATGTTGCTTCGCCGTATAAGTCGCAACTATTATGCGTCACCGCTGATGCATCATTTTTGTTAAGCATCGCCGCTGACAACCCGGAAATGTGGGCCGGTATTGTGCCAAATGGCGGCCGCGGGAGCGTGCATGGGAGGACCTTAACAAGAATTTAACAAGAATAACACTTAAAAACTATTATTTGTTTGCTTGACATTATAGTAAAGGTGTGCTTGTTGAACTTTTACATAATAAATGCACTTTAATGGTCAAATCAGCTGCATTTCACCGGGGTGGTGCAGCGAAATTAAGCTGATTTAACAGTTTCTCCAGCTGGCCGAAGGTGGGAGGCTTTGGCAAGCCGATTGTGTCATTAATAGCCGCTTTTACCTATTACATGACACAGCGGTATGCCATACTGCTCGAGTGCCATCTAGTGGCTGAAAATGGTAGTTTTCAATATTTTCAGTCAGAATGAATGAAAACGGTCAGATCTCAGCCAAAAATTGGTTTATAAATATGGAAAAAATCCATAAATAAGTCACTTCGACGTATAAGTCGCAGAGCATGCAAGCTAAAAGGTGTGACATGTAGGCTGGAAAATACGGTACTTTTCCACAGTCTTTGCTCCTGAGCCCTGCCCCGCCCACTCACACCTTGTCCCGCCCTCATCAGTCACAGCTGCGGCCACTCGTCCCATCAGCCGATTTTATCGTTTCCTCACGACACGCTAGTTGAGCGTCACGTTCTCGTGGCGTCCGGCCCTTCCTGTGCTCTCCTCGTGTTTCTCCGAGGTTTTGCGCTACTCGATCGTGGTTTTATTTCTGTCAAATTTAAGTTTTTTTTTTTTTCCAAGTCCTCGTCCAAGTCCGCATCTTTGGGTCCTGCCTACTTGAAACTGTGGCACAAGCAGAGGTTTATTTAATATCAGCTCATTTTCTCACCAGTATGTAGTTTTTGAGAAAGAAGGCTTCTCTGGCTAGCCATTAGCTTAGTCTGAATGAAGACTTTTGCCTCTTTCTCCACACTCTGTGAGTGATAAAAAACTAAATATTTGACAGAACATCACTTCATTCAATTCCTTTACCTTCATGTGACTAATAAAACGTTTATAGTTTGATGTTTTTATTTACCACGGGCAGAAGCTTGAACCTTCTAATCGTTCAAGCTGTGACTGTTTTCCTTTTGGGGACTGGAGGGATGTTTTCCCACCAGAGCAGCGGAACAATCACACCCACTCCACACCGTCACACGGACTCCAGCCCCCACCGGGGAACATTTCCCCTCTGAACCATGCAGGTTCTGCACCACGTTACAGAGCAACAGAACCTGCGAGAGCTTGGGTTAGCACCTGAAGGAGGCCTTTTTGTTAAAGAAGGAGCGCTCCTCTGACACCATGGCCAACTCTGGCATCCAGCTGCTGGGCTTCTTCCTGTCTCTGACCGGCATCGTGGGGCTGATCATCGGGACCGTCCTGCCCCAGTGGAAGATGTCCGCCTACATCGGGGACAACATCATCACGGCCGTGGCCATGTACCAGGGGCTGTGGATGTCCTGCGCCTTCCAGAGCACCGGGCAGCTGCAGTGCAAGATCTACGACTCCATCCTGCAGCTGGACAGTGAGTCGTCAGGGCTGTGGGTCCGACACCGGTTTTCATGTTTCAAGTAGGATTTAAAAACTGTAACGTGAGGAACTATAAAGGTTTTATAATAGTGTGAAGGTTTGTTAAGCATTCACACTATTGTGATCCTGTTTATAATTCTAATTAGTTACTATTCCATATGTTTTCAGCATCTTTCGTTCCACAGTTGTTGTTCTACTTCAACAAATCATAAAACGTTCAGCTCTTTCAGGACAATCCTGTTATGACTTTTGGTATTGGTGCACCTTTAGCTTTTTGAAATATTTAGCCTTAAATTATGTTTTTTTTTCCTCATAGAAAATGAATTGAGCTCATTTTCCATCCTTCAGATCTTTAGATCAGTTTACAACCTTTTACTGCTCCTTTCACATTTTGTTCTGCTTCAGCTTCTTTCAGCTTCTTTCAGCTTCCTTGTGTAAATTTTTAAAAAAAATCAGCTACTTTCAGCTGATTTCAGCTGTCTTTTCGTTGTTTTGTGCTCCTTTCAGCTTTATTCTTCTACCTACAACATTTTTTCTTCTTCTAACTTCTTTGTCTTAATTTCAGCTGATTATTCTCCTTTCATCTTATTTCTGCAAGCTTAAGCTATTTCTGCTATTTCAGCTATTATTTAGCTGTTTTATGCTAATTTGAGCTTTTTCAGCTACCTCCACATTTTTTTGCACTCATTTCAACTTTTTTCAGCCTAATTCAGCAAAAGTGTTCTCTCTCCACTTGTGTCTGGTAATTTAAGGTTCTTTCTGCTTTTTTAGCTAATATTCAGCTGTTTTTCATTTTTGCA